CTTAGTTTAATTATTTTTCTTAGTTTAATATTCAATTCTAGATAATCTGTCTATGTGGAAAAGTTGTTTATCCAGATAATGTTTAATTACAAAATTATATCCTTGAAGATTCATTATTAATCAAGCCATTTGACCAGTTGGGTTTAGCATATTATTTAAGTATACTAATGCTGAATAGTCAGTAACAATAGTAAATTTAGATCTATGTAAATATATGTAGAACTTTTTTACTGCCTATCTAATAGCCATATATTCCAATTCAGCAATGGTATAATTTCTTTCTGCTAAACTAGTAGTTCTACTAGCATATTCGATAATATGTTCTTCTTTCCATCGTGTTGTGCCAAAATAGCTCCCAAAGCTGTATGTAAAGTGTTAATATAAAGTATATATTCTTTACTATCGTCAGGATGCGCCAATATCAGAGCAGTAATTAAATTCTTTTTTAGTATTTCGAAAGCATACAGTTGATCATGACTTCATTTAAATAGTTCTTTATTTTTCAATAGTTTGTATAAAAAAGATGTAATTTTTTGCAAACTCCTTTATAAATCTTCTATAAAAAACCTGCAAGACCCAAGAATCCATGGAGAGCTCTAAGATTTTGGGCCGAGAAAATCTTTCACAGCCTTGACTTTTAGTTCTCCTAGAATTATCCACAGTCTACTAATCTCATGACCAAGAAATATTATTTTTCGTTATCCAAAATAATATTTATCTTTGTTTAATTTTAGATTTGCAGCTTCAATCCTTCGGAGTACTTCTTCTAGATGAATGAGGTGTTCCTTGAAAGTGAGTGAAAAAATAGTAACATCATCAATATATACTAAAGCAAATTTCTATAATACATCTTGCAATACTTGGTTCATAAGTTTTTGAAAGGACGCAAGAGTATTAGTAAGCTCAAAGGGCATTACATTAAATTTGAATAATCCAAATTGAGAGGTAAAAGCTATTTTTTCTTGAACCCGAGGGTGTATTTCTATCTGCCAGAATCTACTGGCTAGATCAAGTGTCGAGTACCAAGCTGATTTCTTTAATGCACCCAATAACTCATAAATTCTGGGAAGAGGATAACTATCATGTTTCGCTACTTTATTCAATTTTCTAAAATCTATACAGAACCTTATGGATCCATTTTTTTTTTTACTAGAACTATTGGCGAGGCCCATGAACTATATGATCGATGAATAATACTAGCCCTTTCTATATGTTGTATTTTGGCTTTTATAAAGTCATGCTCAGGCATAGATGTGAGATAAAATTTCTGTTTGATAAGATGTCCTTCTTCGGTAAATATTTTATGTCATATTATAGAAGTCTTCCCTAGTTAACCAGATTCATCCATAAAGGTACTCTTGTATTTTGTCATCATGGTCCTAAATTGAACTTCTTGTGAATCTGTTACTGGTTCTAAATTAAAATCTTTAATTTCTTTTTCTTCACTTAGGTATATAGCTTCTACTTCAGTACTTTTATTGAAGACACATTTTTCAATATTATGGCCCTCCTTTTAGCATTTCTCACACCTGTCACATTCACCCTCTATGTCTCTAAATTTTAGTAAAGATAAGTTTTGTTTATCAAGTTTTCCTCCTTATATTCTTCATCTTTATCACTATTTTCAGATTCTGATTCAAATTCTTTTTCAGAGGTATATTTCTCCTTTTTAGTTTTATTATTAATCTGCTTAGAATTTGTCTTCCCTTTAATTTCTTCTTTAATATTGGCCAGTTTACAATACTTAGTGGGTATCTTTATTTTCTTGTTTCTGTTATGAATCATTAATTCATATTCTTCCCAATCTAGTCTTGCTCACGCTTTTTTCATCTAATTATTACTAATATTCACAGCATAATTTTTTAGCATCCATTACAACTATACCAGAGATAATAGTTTTTCCTCCAACTATTATAGGAAATTTATCTACTTCACCCAAAGATCATTTTTTGTTTCCCATGCACTTCTATCATTACTATAGTGAAGGGCAATCAATCAAAATATTCATTTCTTTCAAAAAGCTTGCCGAAACTACACACCTTGAAGACTCACTATCTAGTATTAAATATATCAGATATTCCTTAACTCATACTTTACAATATATCAAGGTAGTTTTAATATTTTTGTCTTGCTTAAGGCAGAATTCTGCTATTTTAGCTGTGGTTATTCTTCCTACCTTTCTTATTCTAATCATTTCTTTTTTTACGTTAGGGGCTACTTGAAACAGTTAAGCATAAGTAATGTCTGCTTTCTTATTTTGTAAATCAGACATAATGGTGTAGGTTGAATGTTGGACATTATTAAAGGCTTACAGGTTTAGTTTTTTATTTTTTTGCAATTAATTTTTTTGTCAGTTTGTGCATGTGATCTTCCTTTTCTTTTTTATCTTTCCAGATACTTCGACTTCTTCTGCTTCTCCATAATTTTTCTTTTTTCTTTTTGCTGCATAAACTTCCAATAGGGGTTCTGATAAGAGAATTTCAGTATTAAACTCACTCTCTCCCTCCTGAGGTGTATTTTCTAGTTTAAAGACTCCTTGTTATTCAATAATTGGGCCAACATGGTCTGAGCTCTGGTTATATCTACTGTGGGTCTATTATTATCCGTATTTCTTTCTTTTTTATTTTCATTTTGCCTATCACTCTCATTTACTTGTTGAGCCAAATTATTATTATTCAAAGCGGAACATTCAGAAATGATATATCCTGGCTGTCAACAATTAAAGCATGTGACTTGAAATCAATTTCCCTGAAATGGTATATTATTCTGATTTTTGTTTTGATTTTCTCTTGGTCTATCATTATTATTCTTTATAGACACTACTAATTCTTCTATTACAGATGTTAATTTCTTTATAGGATCTTCAGTAGCACTTGAAGAAGTAAGGAGTTGAACTGTCAAACTGGCTGGTTACTAAAGATAAGAGGTAACAGGACTGATGAATAAAGTCTGGTGAGACATCATCATGTTTCATGAAAGTGTTAGTTTACTAACTTTATCCCTTTCAATTGCTGCTTGTAGAGTTTTTAGTATAAATAAACCCACCACAAGCACCATGTCCGGTTGTAGTCCTTGTACAAAAATTTGAGCTTTTATTGCTTCAGGATACTGGTTATCTCTCACAGTAACCTGTCTAAACAAAGCTACCATCTCTGACACATATTGATCAATGGTTTCATTGACTTTCTGACATCTAATAATTAACTTGGTACTCTACTGACTTATGAGCATTTGGGTACAGAAGTTTAGTCAAATTTGATAGACAAAACTCATATCCGGATGGAAATCATCCTCCCAATCTACAATATAAGGCCTAGTATTTCTTCTAGTTTCTTACCACATAGCAGCTATTCCTGTCAAATATGCACCTATGACTGCTATTCAATGATCACCTTGAATGTTATTTGTCTCAAACGCATGACCAACTAATTCTAACTATGCAACAGGATCTTGATTTTCACTGCCAAATGTAGGAATAATTACCACGATCATTTCTCATATCTGATTGTTTTGAAGGACCTGAGACAGAGCGCTAGCCATTAATCTTAATAATTGATGAACTTGTTGTTGGAAACTATTTTTCTGATCTTCTTGACCACAGTGATCATCATCATTATCAACATCCAAAAAAGGATCTATGATAGATGAGTTACTTTAATTTCAGTTTCGTTTAGCCTATATGTCTTTAGACCAAAAGTTAGTATTCAATTCTATTTCTGTTTCTAGATATGCAGTATTCCACACAATCGGCACCAAATATTATGGTTGAGTGAGAAAGCTTTGAGTAATTGGTCCAGTTTAGCTTCGATTGTGAACAAAAATAGATATAAATGAGATTAACGATTTATTTATGTAGATCACATATTGAATAAAATAAAGTCTAATATTTGTATAATAGAGTTATGAGTTTTAAGAGTTTAGTTCAAAATATAAAGGGTAGAGTCTTTATCTATTTATGAGATAAAAAAGTTTCTCTTTATTAAATGTTTCTCAAAATAAATTTCATACATTGAATTATGCTCTAATTACAAAAGTAACCAAACTGTAATTTTCTATGAGCGATAAATAAAAATTTTATTCCAAGTTGAAACCCCCTTTTTATAATGATAAATTTAGCCTGGGGTTTTAAACTTCTCTTAGGAGCTTTTGACTCTCTCTAGAGGTTCTTGACTTCCTTAAGGAGTCTTTAGTTTTCCCTGAGAGCCCTTAACTCTCTCTGGGAGTTAAAGACTTTTAATGTGCCACATTAATTACTCCCAGACCATACCAAAAAAATATATATTGATAGAAATAGATAATAATAAAAAATAAAAAAATGATATTCTGAATCATAACAATATATATAAGTATTACCATTACTTTAATATTTTTCCTCATCTGATTATTGATCTTCAACTCTACTAAGTATTATGAGTACCACAAAAGTAATTATTTTATTACATTTTGCTTATCTTTATATTTAATACTACTATATTATACTACAAATAATTTTACTTTATTCTTTTAAATTTTCCTACTAATTTCTATTACCCGATTGTTCTCTATTTTACTATACTGAAACATTATTGTTGTGTTTTGTTTTGTGCATAAACAGGCATCTAGTCATTACATTGGGGTGTTCTGTCAACTAATTAAATCAAATGTATTTGTAGACTCTTAGTAAATCAGTATAGTGTAGATTTTTATTGAATAATTTACTGTAACATTATTACAACTAATAAAATTTATTATTGATATGTATTAATAATCTATTGTTACACAAAAATTTTAACACTAAAAAATTTGATCAAATGTAGATAATGCCTTCTTTGTACTAAAGTCTGATATCTCAATTTCTTTCTGTTCTTTCTTATTACCTTTCTAAATACTAACAAGTCCATTTTTAATATCTTGTTTTGAGAAATTTATTTCAGAGAGATGTAATATAGATTCTTTAAGATCTAACTTTATGCTTTGGTGAGTCTTTAAATCCAGTTTGTTGAACATACCCTTAACTTGTTGCTGATGTACAATTATATAATAAATTTTAGTAGTAATGAACTCATAAAGCAATGAGTAGTTAGATAGGCTTAGATTTAATTCATCACAAAAGTTATTAAATTGTTCACAAAAATTTGGATCTAAATTATAAAGCATTTTTAATCCAAAATCATTTAAAATATTGTTTTTGATATCATTTTCAAGCTGATTTATATAGGTTATTTCTTGTTCAGATGGTTGAAAATTAGTTTGAATATTAAAGATGACATGTCGATAACTTTTAGCAAAGAATTGTGCAGAATTTCCTCCTAATTGGCAAACAGATAGAGATAATTTTAACTATGAAGTATCCATTTTTCAAAATGCAAGATTGCCTTTTTTATTCCTTTCTCTAATAATCAAATATTTTACCAAATTCTGTTTCATTTAATGATTCAAGTGCTTCAAGTAGTTTCTCTGAAAAAATGATATCAAAATTATTTGCAGCATCTGTCAAAAAATTTAACCATTCTAAAATCTTATCAGGAATTTCATGGGCATATCGCCCAGGAGGTAAATTAATCCAATTTTTACCATTAAATATTCATAGTACAGGATCATTACTAACAAGAAATTCTATTAATAGGTTAAAAAAATAATGTCTAAATTTTACTAAACATTTTAATTGAATATTTAGTTTTTTATCATTAAGCCAACTATA